ACAGAAGAAAAAGTTTGCTTTCATCTTAAATACAAAAAATAATTATATATATATATTTTTTTACAAATGTATTTATAGTTAGTTATATTAATTACTGCTCTTAGTGGGTTTCTCTGTCAGCAAAAGGCATGTTTTAGGCTCTCTATCGATTACTATATTACTTGAAAATTATTAGTAATTGGATTAATCATGGTAAATCCAGTTGTTTCAGCTCTAATTAAAAAACAATCAGAAAGTTTAAAACTAATACACTAAAAAAAAATAAAAAAAATAAATAAATAAAGTTACCTTTACTTTAAGCCAGTCATTTCAGGGTGTGATTACTTACTTGGAGAGTGCAGATTGAGGGACACAACAAAACGCACAATGGCCATGACGGTGAGGTTCATGATGCTGGCAATCCCAAAGAAGAAGCCTGCCAGGCCGTAGTAAATGCAGGAAGCATTTCCACCAAGCCAGTGGTGACTCCAGGCAGAGGCAATGGCCAGGGGATACATGGTGACGGCTGTTCCAAGATCTGTCACGGCCAAATTCACACTTAGCAGCTCTGGCGGCTTCAGCCTTGATGATCTCCTGAATGCCATGGTGAGGACAAGCAGGTTTCCCACAACAGAGAGCACAGCTAAGACAGAAGGGAGAGAGAGAGAGACAGCTGAAATGGAGAGAAACTTTATGCAAAGATCCTTAGATTTGGATTAAAATGATGCAAGGGAACACAAAGTTACTTAAAGGGAATTACTAGAAGCGGTTATTATTGTTTTTTAGAAAGGTGAAGGAGAGAAAAATAAAGTCAAAACACACTGATCCTATTTCCTTTGATCATTTTGGCCTGAACAGGATAGAAAGGAGCCTATCCCAGCAAAACCCTGGGAAGAACCTAAGCAACCTGTCGTTATGTCACATGGACACTTTAGTGCTGTGATTACACATAGCAAAAAATCCTTACATTTTTTTTCTAAAAAAAATCACTATTATTGTCTTTCTGTTTCAGAAAAGATCTCTTCATACAAACTTTTGCTCCATTATAAAAATTACGTTGATTACATTGTTTAAAAGTACCAAGCATTATGTGTTAGAATTATGATGTGTGAGTCTGTTAACCCTAATAATATTTGTCTATTGCATGTCAGAACTAATGTTTTCCTGAGTAGTTTACTTAATTAGGACAGTTCTTCTGTCAGGCTATATGGTTATCTTCTTCATTATGTACATAACACACAGAGTGGATCTTTCTTAACAGTAAGTTTTCTGTGTTTTTATCTGGGACACTGTGTAATAGTTTTATAAGGCTGGAGCCATGGATGTGTCCTCTTTTACAAACATCTATGATGTAATGATGTGATGATGTGGCTGTTGAATAAAATGCTTCTTTAACTGTGATTCGAGGCCGAATCCAACGAGAGGTCAGCCCGGTTGATAAGCGCTGCCTCCTGTTAGTCAGGGAGACTTCTGTGGTCTGAGTAAGATTACAATTTCTGTCAAAATCTGTTGTCATTTAATACATATATATTATGTATGTATGTATATATTTATATTATATTTGTACTGAGTGAATCTCTTCTCTGGAAAAGAACTGGAGAGAGAAAGCTTAACACAGAGATTTCCTTAACATACCAAAGCCCTGAAAGGCAACTGAGAGGAAAAAAAAAAAAATCTTATCAGGAAAAGTTTTTTTGATCTTTATTTCCAAACCTGAAAATTATTTATTATTATTATTATTATTATTATTATTATTATTATTATTATTATTATTATTATTATTATTATTATTATTATTTTATGTATTTAGTTAAGGAACTGCGAAACTGATTCTTGGAAACCAGGCCTCTGACTATCCGTTTACAGCTGTCATTGAATTCTCTTGTTTTACCAGTGTTACATTGCTTGCAACCTTTGATATCCAAGCATTAAGGCTAACATCTGGACCATTAGATGACATTCACTCTAGATCTACAGGAATTATATTACTCCAAAAATTAATGAAATAATAATAACTTTACACAATCTGAAGGCAGAAACAGGAGAAATTGCACACCTGGATAGTGGGAACAAGCTAGAAGTACACAGAAAGAACCCAAATCTGAAATACAAACCAGTGACCCTCCGGTCATACATATTTATCTGAATGGCTGCACTGAAAATAATCCCCCTTCTCAGTTTGTTTGGTAAGCTTAAAAATTGCAAAACAGATGTTTGGCAGATTTGGATATCTCTTAAGAAAGGCCACGATATTGTTCCCAATGGACCACAGTGGAACTACTGTTGCTTTGCAGCAAGAAAGTCTCAGCCTGTGTGGGTTCTCCTGTCCTCTGGTCTCAGAACAAGAATATGATTATTAGCTCAGTGATTGTTTTTAAATTGCCCTTAAGAGTGAGTCTGTGTGCATGGTTGCTTGTCTTGTACATCTCTATTCGCATCTCCAGAAGGATGACTGAGATGGGATCATGGAAGCATATAGGGCTGGATATACATCCTGCCTGTTAAACCAAGGTTCTTGAAATGCCAGAAATCCAACAAAAGTCTTAGGAAACTAAGGTGGTTGGGTACAGGTGAAAAAATCTATGTTACACAGATTTCAGATCAAGCAAATCTGCCCCTTCACCTAAATAATACTAGAAACATCTTACCTTGCATCCAGGCAGTAATAGTAAAGACTGTGACTATGTGTTAGGTGCATTCGCTGATTAAAAAAAATGATGGGATTCTTGAGTTTTCTTATGGCAGATTGCCAGTCAGGGCTGATGATGCTGAAAACTGATGATTTCTCTGTCCTTCTTTATTTTCGGAATCAAAACCACTCAATTATCCTAACCAGTACACTCACAAAGGAGCAGATTGATGAGTGCTTATTTATTTGGTTATTTGTCCGTCATGAGAACCCATGATTTTGGTGTCTGGGAACATTTCTCTGGGACAAAACAACAGACTGAGTGCACCATATCACAGCCTAAATAAAAGCCACACCTGAGTGCATAAACAGTCAAGCCTGTAATGCCTCTAACTATGAGAGAGAGTTTAAATCAATCCCCAATGTTGAATTCCGAAAAGTGTTTTTGAAGCAGAATGTTTCCAGATAACAAAATTGACAAAAGACAAAATTCTGAATCTATAACAACCCATATGAAGTAAATGTTAGGGTTACCAATAAGGGAATGCACAATGGCTGTTCTTAAAACACAACAGTATATAATGAAATCCTTGTTCTTAGTTTAGATAATGTTGCTAAATGCAAATGTAGTGCTGAATTAAATAGAGTTTCACGGTTATCTCAGAACATATGATTTTCAAATTCGATTAAAAATGACCCTAATCCGTTTATTTCGGCATCCTTATTTTTCAGGGTTTTATAACTCCAGGATGAATTGATTCAACATTCCTTAACTGGATAAATCAAGATCTTGCAAAACATCTGACAGGCTAATGGAAAAAATGACCAAATCACTTATTTAGCTTACAAGGGGCGCATTTGTTCTCGCTAAGCTGCAGCTTTCTAAAACCGTTTTCACCAGAGCATTTGACAAATCTGGGAAAAGTCCAAAACTATGTCTTTGTTACTATGGTGATAATTATTTCCCAAATACAGATGCACATTTACAAACATTCCAGCAGATATAACGAATGAGAAATAAACCACTTAAAAAACAGAATGCTGTTATTCTCAGTTACATTTTCATTGGTATTTTCATCCTTACAACATGAGGAATAGTCCTGGAATTAAGACAGCACATCAGGCTTGGCTGCATTTTCTCCAGACTTTAGACAGATTAAGTGTCAAATCCTTTTGCCAGAGTTGTGCAAGTCTGATAAGGTCATCTCTATCTGGTTTGTCAGGCCATTCTGAGAATAGTTTGCTTGTCCTTGTACGTTTCAGTTTTTTTATTTACGCATTAGAGCATCCAAGTGCTACAACATATGTCCTAAACTAATTGGTTGGACTATATTAACTTTAGCTTAGCCATATGTTTCTATGTTGGTCAAGCAACGGGACTGTGAGCTCCAACTCCCCATAAGCCTGATCAGAATAAAGCAGGCACAAAAAAACAGTGGGATTGAAGGTCTCTATCACTATCATCCTCAGTAGACAAATACATTAATTCCACCACTGTAAAGCTAAGTATTGCCCATCGGTGATGGATTGTAAAAACAGTTTGAATCTTAAAAGGTTATTTTATTAAAGGAGAACATGCAGCTATTGAAATACTAAACAACTTTTGTGAAAAAAAAATACCAATAATAATTTTTATGGATGATTATACTTATTCTGCTGAGGTAGAAAGCCTCAACAGATTTCTACAAGCCAAAAGTTAATTTGAACTCTGAACCTCACAAAAGACTCACTCTGGGACTGTAAAGCAAGAAGCACAGAGGCCAAATCAACTTCCAGCTCACTGAAAATTACCTTCAAGGAGGCAAATCTAAGCCAATATAGCTCTAAAAACTCACTGAACAAGAACAAAAAGGAATCAATGGGGACACATGTTACCTTAAAAGTGGCTTTTCAACACTTCTATATACACTCACTGGCTAGATTTAATTAGAACTAATGCCTGCAAAGCACAATTAATATACAAAAGAACTAATAACAAAACAGTTCACTTGCTTTTGTTTTCTTTCTACTAAATCTAACATTTCCACCACATAAAGGGAATTTATAGCTGATAGGACAACTGCCCAACAAGCCGCAGGGTTGCAGTTTGTTGTGCAAGACAGAGATATAAACAGGGACGCTTTAATCATTCTAATGCTAACAGAGCTCAATATTGGTCTATAGCACTCTATTGACTGGGAGGGATTATACAAACGGAAGTGGTGAGTGGATGCAGCATGAGAGTAAAGGTAAATGGTAGAAACTGAATTATGCATTGCCATTTGAAAAACAAGGAATTAAAGAAGCATCTCCTTTACTTACCCTGTGGCTTTCCACAGAACGCAGCCCCTACTTTATAAAAAAAAAAACCTCATCAGGACATAAATGTTTTATTAGTTTGGCCATTTAATCACTTTTTTTTTTAACAACTTCAATGATTAGTACAAAAAAGAATTAAATGTAATCTTTGAAACAATTCCTTTTATTGATCCACACACAAAATGATAAAAACAAAATCTACAAATATATATATATATAAACAGTCTGCAGGAGGGAACAGAAGCATTTTCCCACTGTTTTGCACAAAAGCTGACTAAACATTTCCTGTTTTGAGTCAGTAAGGGTCACAATAATCCTTTCTCTTTGCTAAACACCAGAATACCAAGGGACTTATCTTTTTTTATTTGAATTCAGAAGTTTACTAGGATATGTTAGGATATGTTATTGTTAGCATATGGAAAAAAAACTTTACTGAATGACTTGGGTATCTCTCCCCAAGTTTCCTTTAATTGCTTTCTAGAATTAATTCTATTCCTTCTAACAGAAGTAGAATAAATAAATTGGGTTAGTAGATCTAATTGCTGCTTAAACACACATTTCTTTAACCCAATCTTCCTAGATGACTCATCACCACATTCAATCATTTAAATCCTTCTTTAATAAACCAGTAAACTCATTATTTTGGAATGGGTCTTTCAAGTGCAGTTTGTCCCTAGTGATCCCATTGAAGTGCCCCAGTCTGTCCTGCTGTGATTCAGCCACAGAACAACATTTGGCAATCACTAGTGCTGCCCAGCTAATTGCATCTGCAATATAATTACAATTTAACAAAATGCAATTTTCAAATCACAGAGGCTTTCAGTTTTAGTCATATTAATTTTAACAAGAGTAATTAACTAAATTTCTCCCAACAGCCCTTTAGGTGGCAGTAATATGCCTAATGTGTATTTTTAACCATGCAGATGAAAATAGAGTTGCAGCTAGCACCTAGATTTCTGCATGCAAGAAGAATGTAGCACTTTTTCACAGTTATTGTAAACTCCTGCAACAATTGACTTGGGACAAGCCAGATCTTAATGACATGGAAAACTGAAAACCTTGGAGTGGAACATTTACATGATTAAGGTTATTGTAAAAGGAAATTGTAATAAAATTGCAGTGAATTGCAGTGGCAATTTAGATCTGATTCAAAGTTTGTCTCATTAAAATCATAGATTTTTATAAATATCATTTCCTAGCTATTGTGAAATCAACAAGTTTCAGAAATGATTATATAGATAAAATGATTTCCACTGGAGTTTAATGCTTTGTTTATTGCGCTGTAGTTTATTTAATCATATATTTTTAAAGTGTATAAGAACCATCCATTATACTCTGTTGGCATGTCTATAATTATACATTTGTTGTTTGGCTGATTGCTCAAATTTATTTGTTTTCTAAGCATTATAAATAAGGACAGAAGTGGGTAGAGTTAAGCCTAAGAAAAACTTTTGGTTAATGGTAATTTAAGTTTCTTAAAAACATGCAATTGAATCAAGGCTTTACCATTTGCCCTTTTTCCATGTGTAAAATGTCTTTTTCAATTGTCGAGTAAAGGATTTTTTTTCCCTTCTAACATAAATCATATCTTTTGAAAAAATATGAAAGTTTAATAAAATGTAAGTTTTTATTTAAAGCAATCTTGGCTTTGCTCTGTGTTTGGATCATCATTGGCAGCGGTTAGTGTACTTTCAGCCCAGTTTGAATGTGACATTTAGACCTAACTGTCTGTATGTGTCTTTGGCTGTTATGTCAGGGCTGGAGGCAGATGTAATGTGTGAGATAGCAGGAGGACTGTCAAAGCCACTGTCATCTTAGCTGATTACTATTCCTCCATCTGGAGCTTTTGCACATGACAACACTAGAGGAGAAAAGGATGTGGTAAAATAATCCTGTTGTGTAAATAACAGATTCACAGAATTGCATTCGGATTTACAACGGATGAGTTGCCTTGAGATATTCAGATGTCTGATATTAGGAATTTCTGATGTTACAGGAAAATTATTTTAGGCTAATATCAGCAGACATGTGTGATTTACCAAGCTCTTCCTTCCTTCAATACAGCACATGAAGATTAGTGAATAGCTCTGCTAATGAGGATTTACTTAGAATGTTGTTAAAAGTTATCTGCAAAAGTTAGCTACCTAGTACTAAAAATTCCCCACCTAAATTATAGATTTGATGAGTTAATAATAAACACTATCTTTAATCTGTTCCCGATTCAGGCATAAGCCCAAGCTAAGAATCTATTGATGAAATTATCTCCCCACAGTGCTGCCCTGCTGCCTGCGTGAGGACAAGAAGTTCTACTTGTAACCGCAAAAGCAAAATCTGCAGCTCTATATTTCAACCTTTAACAATTTTATCTATAAATGCCCACTGAGCCCTTCATCTGTCCAATCTGCCAGTCATGATCAATATTTTATAGGTGGGGGACAAACCACTGAGAACTTTGCATTAAGGCTCAGCTCTAGCCCGAGGGGAACACTACATCTTTCTGCTTAAAAACAATAACCAGGAGATGGCTTCCATTCCAACTCCTTCACAATCGGTTGCAAAGATAACAGAATCACGTCAATCTGCATAAAGGAAAGGCTAGACAACGCCTCTTCAGCATTATGTCTTGAAATCCTGTTCATGAAAGCCACATAAAAAGGTCAATGAAAAGGTCCAGACTTCGTTGCAGACCAACATATGCTAAGAATATTCTTGACATTGTGCCAAGATTGCAGACACTGCTGTTATTTTGTTTATACACTGATAGTTCTTTAAGAAAGCTTCACCCCATATTTTGAGGAAGCCCTCCAAAGCCCTGGAGACACACAGTCATGAGCCTTCTCCCAATCCATAAAACACAATTGGACCAAACAACCAAACTCCCATGACCGCATTATTATTTCTGAGGGGGCTGACATCTGCCTCTCCTGGGTTTAGGGTGAGGGGAGTAGGTTTGAACCGTCTGTCAAATCAAAAACATAACTTTTACAGAACAGAGAACTAAGACAACAATTTACAACTCTTTCAAATCTCATTTTTCTATGTAGTAGTTCAGGGATAAAACATGTTTTTGAGTTTAAATTAACTCTAAATGTATAGCATTTAATGTAGCTCCATATGATTCCCGACATAAACACATTTGCTGCAAGATAAATCATCTATATCCAGCATATTTTACAGTGCGCCAAAATGACCAAAAGAAATAATCAATATTTGTTTTGAGTGATTACTTACCTAAAATTTTACTTTTAAGTTTAATTTATTGAGCAACATGGACAAGCTTGCAAAGGATTTTCGTCTGCATTCAAAGTAAAGCTAAATATAAATACACTCTTAAAACAAGCACAATAAGAACAAGAGATGGATTTTTAATTGCGAGCATGTGGTAAATAATTTTATACAGGCTAATTATTCAATTAACTTAGACGTTGCTTAGTTTTCTATGCACTTCTTTTCTAAGTGATGATAAAAAGTTTAAGGTAAGCCCCAAAGTCTCTGACAAGACAGCAGAATTGACGGTACAGTGTTTGCTCTTTTCTGAATGGTGTTTGACAAATTCATTCTTTATGATTTATGCAGCCAAAGGTTATTACTTAAAATTCTGCAGACATGTTCTGCAGCTCCAAGAAAACCACAGTTCACTCTTCTATGAGTGCGAGTGAAAGTAGACTGAGATACATGTCAGAAGCAACAAAAATACATAATAAACAATGAGTCATGTTATTGCTTCGATTTGAATTTTACATCCAATAAAAGCAAGGATATTAACAAATAAATTGGGCATTATATTGGCCATGGTCTGGGTTGCTGCTGGTGGTGTAACAGTTTGAGAATATATTCTTGAAACACTTGGGCTTCTTTAAAACCTGAGCTTCATTTTAAAGCAGCCGCCTACCTTATTATTGTTTCTAATCATGTCCATCACTGAATGATCAATGTAGCCCTTTTTTTCCCAAGGCTACCTTAAAGCAGGGCAATGCACCATGTGACAAAACTCAAATAAACTCAAGCTATTAAATCAAGAAAATTCAATGTAGTCGATGGCCTCTGCAGCCAACAGATTAGAATTCAGTAGGACACATTTGGGATATGGCTGAACAGGCTATTTGCATCATGGATCAGCTGGCAGATCTGCACCAGGACATCACCTCAAAATGGACCTGAATCTCTAAGGAATGTTTTTTACACTGTATGTCAACAAAAACTGATGCATCTCTATTCTATGTAAGTGCCCACTGTATTTATGCCAGGATAAAGCTTAAATATCTCTCTCTCTCTTTTTTTGTTTTTTTATCTTACAGCACTGGCGGTCCTAGACCAAATGTAACAGGGGGCCAGGAGGGGTCCAGTATGTTTTCATTGGGGCACAGAAAAACATGATATAAAAAAACAGAACAATGGATTCAAATATATCTATATAACAGCATGAAGTAAAATTTATATTCAATTAGATTTAATTGAAATAAAAAAATGTCTTATTAGATCCATATACATTCATAATTTAGGAATTTTACATATTTTTGACTTAATTTAAGCTAAAATTACAGTTTTCTATAAAATATGAATTAGAACAAAAAAAAAAAAAGATAAATTCAGCTTAAAAAAGGAAATAAAATAAAATTTAGCAGATGAAAACTTGGATCCTATCTCAATACCACTGAAACTATCACTTTATTGTTTTTAAATGATTAGTAAAACAGAATTTGTAAAGAAAAAATATGAAATTGATCCAAAGGACCTATCAGTAACCATGTCTGTTCCAGAAAATATCATCATTAGAATTTCTTTGAGTATTATGTATTCAGTACAGGGGCCATAACAGGGGCCAGGACATGTTCTACTGGCCCCTGTCTGGAACCACCCATGTCTTATAGGTGATTGAAGTTTATATTTATGGGTGTGCATTTATATTGAATAATAGTGCAATATAAAATTGTTTTTTTAGGATGCAGATAAAATATCTCATATCAGGGACCATCTTCAACAACTGAGTTTGAATTGCAGTCTTCTGACTGATTCCAGCGGTCTATTTGTGCGTAATTCTGTCTCTATTTTAGAAGCCGGTTATAAACCCATAAAGGTGGTAATTTCATCAACAGGTAGTTTTTGAAATTTACCCAGAATCAATTTAGAAAGGCGGACAAATAACATCTGCATTGGTTTACCTAAGATTAGACGTCAGGGGACAACATACCCAAACATCTCCCTGAAAGCAGGACAGCTGTTTTTTCTGGCTGTGTCTAAACAGATCGAAATATCCTGAAGCAGCTGACATAAAGTGTAAAGTGCGACTGCACGGATATTAAAAAAAGCGAAATCTAAGACAGAATAATGTGAATATTTTTCTGATCAAAAAAACAAACAAAAAAACCCCAAAAACTATTCGTGTCTTTTTTACTTACTTAAAACCAGCAGATAGCATCCTGTGCCGATGTCCAACGCCGGTGACAGCGCTGAAGCGTAAATGTCCATTGGGAAGGTGAAAAAGACTTGTTCTTTTTTAGAAAAGAAGGGTCCATGCGATATTTAAGTAAAAACCGGCCGCTTCAGGTGCTGCTGTCGGGTCTATCGGTAGGAGCGCACTGAGCCAAGACAGGAGATTGCTGCTGTGCGCCCGCAGCCAGCGGGGTGCAAACAGGAGATCGTGCGTAAAAGGGCAGAGCTGCTGTCCAAACTGTGCAGCCTTCCAGATGGTGCTGGGTGACTTAACCTTCTGAGAAGGAGGGACGGGTTAAAAAGGGCAGGAGACAAGCTTTTCTGATCCCACACACAAAAAAATTATAATAAATAAATAAATAAAAACAAAATGTATATATATATTTATGAATAAAAAAAATAAAAAAATAAAAAATCAAGTATCTAGTGAGTCAGCAGTTGGTAGACCAGGACTTGCTAAACGCATTAATGATCTTTGCGCCTCCATGATGCCACCTCCTTCCCACAATGAAAACTTGAATTCTTATGCAATGTTGACAAAAAACTAGTCAGAATATTATAAAAACTATTTATTTAACAAATGCCTGTTCAAAGTCTAAAACTATAAACATCAAACAAAAACATCTTTAGTGGTAATTAATTTCCCTTACAGCTAAATACCCTAAATTCAATATCTTAAAAAAATGATGATTATTGTAGAAAAAACACAAAATAGAAATAGAAAAGAATAGAATTCAACTTTGTCATTGCACTGTCCTGAGTATATAGCAACGAAATGTGGTTTGCATCCATCCAGATGTGCTATACAAGATATAAATATTATTACAGGTGTATGTACAAGCAAAAAGTAATAGTTAGGGACTGTAAAAAGTTGTGTATAAATATGAATATGGGAGTTACATGCACAGATTATACAGATTATACAGAATATACATAATATTTGGAAAATAATTATTAATGTATTAGCAGGTTTATAATACAAGATAAATAATGGCAGATAAGATTTACAGATTATACAGACTGTATACAGATTGTGTATGTATGTGAGGGGAACAGTCCATGGTATGTGTGTGAGTGAGAGGACAGTCCATATGTTATTATTGTAAGTGGGGATACAGTCCTTATAGAAATGTCAGCATTTGCGCTTGAAAACTCAATCAGTGCAGGTGATGCAGAGAAGATGTGGTTCTCCAGAGGTGTTAAGGAAGCCCTGATGGCTTAGAAGCAGCATTTGGCGTCTCTGCGTTATTGTCTCTGCTGTATTTTATAGTTCTCTTGACAATAGCACATTGATTTTTCCTGGGATTCTTGATCACACCCGTTGGCTGTCCAGTCAATGCAGGGTGTAGAGTGTGGAGATGTGGTTCTGCAGATGTGCTAAAGATACCGTGGTTTCTTCAGCACTGGCCTTCGGCCTGTCTCCATTTTTGGCTCTGGTGTGTTTTATTTTCCTCTTGACAATAGCACATTGATTCTCTGTGGAGTTTAGATCACGCCAGTTGGCTGGCCAATCAATGCAGCATGGTTTGGAGGAGATGTGGTTCCGCTGAGGTGCTAAGGAAGCCCTTGTTGCCTTAACTGTGGCTTCTGGCTTGTATGCATCAGTGTCTCTGGTGCTTTATATCTTCCTCTTGACAATAGCACATTGATTCGCTGTGGAATTTAGATCAGGACAGTTGGCTAGCCAATCAAGCATAGTGACATAATGTGCCTTAAATCAGTTATTGAGACACAAACTGTTTTCTTAGTAACACCATTAGTAACAGCATTATTTTGTCAATAACACAGAGATATAACTAATTTCTTTTCTCATTTCTGCAATGCCGTTACTTTATTTGGAGCATAGCATGGTGTATTACTGCAACTCGATCAATTGAAGCGACTTTCCAAGTGCACCCTCTACAGCTTGAGAGAGCCGCTATTTGTTGTAATTACAGGGGAGAGCAGGGGTGCTGAGATGGAGAGAGATGTAATAATGAGGAGACATTAGGTGGTGATGCACACAAATACTGAGACCAACAACAACAAGAATTATGCAAGGCGAAGCACAGAGTGTCACAGATTCAATTATACAAAAAACTGATAGTGTTGCCTAATATTCCAAAAAAGTATATTTTATATATATATGTAAAAAAAAAAATATATCTTTTAAAAAAATATTCTAAAAAAGTTTAAAACTATGGACTGGACTTGGTTTCCAAGTTTGAAAAGTGGATCCAACGGAATGGTTTTTAATTTTTTTGGAATGACTATGACCTGGATGGCTGAGAACCTTCACCAGCATTTTAAAAACATACTTTATAACCAATTTAAACAATGTACCAAGTTCTAAAACATCTTGTTTGTTTTATACTTCTTACTTATATAATTAATAATAATAATAATCATATATAAAATATGCATGTATAAAATCTAATCAATACGTTTCTTGAGTTACTTTTACCACTATACACAAAATGTTAAGTTAGTTATACAATATTCTTTACCACTCTGCTTTCCTTTTAGGAGGGGGGTCTTGGGTGATATGGAAGCACTCTCGATATAGGCAACAAAAATAGCCGTCCCTGAACCTGAAAACCATGTGTTTCACTCTATTTATGTTCCACACTGTTTTTCCAAAGTCTGTTAAGTGAATAAATTAACAAATTAAAATTGTATTTTGGTTTTAAAGATATATGACACCTGTTTAAAAACATGAGTTGTTCACACTGCTCCAAGTTTTGTTTGTGTTTAAACATCAGCAGATTTTCTATCATTGTTTCATAGAAACCAGCAACTTAACAGTTAAAAAGTTTTTTTCAAGTGCTTCTAGTTTATGGCTTTATGGTCAAACATATTTAAAAGCACTTCTGGAAAATTTGCTAATCGGTTAATCTGCTCACTTTTTTTAGAAAACCAATAATTAGTGGGTTAACAATGATAATAATTAATAATCAGACAACAAAAAAATTGTTTTACAGAATTTAGAACTTGGTGAAGATAAAATGTTTCCAACTGAAGAGTCTGGATAGAACAACTTTGATCAGATTTATTTAAATGGACTGCAAAAAAATCTAAATAAGTCATTTATGCTTAAAATAAGTGCTTTTTTTTTCTTGAATTGAAGAGGTAAGTTTACATTTAAAATAAGAAAACAACAACTGCATTGTCTTATTCCTTGTGCATATTATGTAATTATCTTTTTTAAGGGTAAAAATATTAATTCCACTGGCAAATCATCTTATTTACCAATGAGCTTATCAAATTGAGGGAAAATACACTTAATTTAAGAAATCTTTACTTATTTCTGGAACGTTTTAGCAGTTTAAGAAAACTTTTTGATGCTTTAGCTCAATTGTTGCATTGAGTTGTTTGTTTCTTGCAGTTAAAAGCTAGTTTTAGTGTCTGTATACTCCAGTTAATGATTACTCGATAACTTTCTTATAGAGAAAGGCAGACAGGGATTTATTACCCTGAGGCAAAGTAAGAGGAGTGTTACTGCCTTTATCATTGATTTTCACACTCTTTCTGCAAGCAGTTGGTGGACCAGGAGGACCTCATGGACACATTTTTTCAAGGATGAAACTATGATATTAAGGATGAACTTGCTACTAGGGATTAATATAATGATCTTAAAGATTTGGATAGCCTTGAAACCAGAATTGATCTTCGGCTAATGGAAAGGAGGAGGGAGAAGTGCCGTAAGGATGAATCCATAAATCTCACCGGGATGACCACCGACAGACCTGTCACACGGGTTTTCTACATTTCCCACAGCTCTTCCTTCTAATGAGGAACCTTGGCAAATTCAGAGAAGTTATTTATCTCTTGAGGAATAAGTTTGACGCAGAATGTTCCCCCTATGTTTCTGTTGTGGTGGTATGGGCCATATGGATTCAAGCTGTTCTGCTACAAGGTCAGTCTTATTTAATAAGAGGAGGACTCTAATAGAGAAGTTCAAAATAATTAAAATCTCCCACTCTATCTATTTCCAAACTGACCTCAAGGTCTCCAGTCACATGCTTCATGTCTCTGAGTTCATAGAGTTCGGGAGGGACACAGAACTTATTGATCAAAAATTTGCCAGGGGCCGAGGACTTAATCTCAATTTTACCTCATTGTCTTACAATGTTTTGACCCTTGATGGACAAATTCTCAACCTCTCTCACTTACAGACCTTACTGTCATTAGGTGGAAATCATCATGAGGAAATAATGTTTACTGTAATTAACTCCCCCAAACTATCCATTATTTTAGGAGAAACATGGCTCATGAAACATAACCCCATATTGTCATAATGCTTTAAAAAAAAATCTAATTTCTCCTTCTGCCTCTGTCAGTAAAGTTGAGGGAGCATATCCAGACATCCTCAATTTCCTTAAGATTACTGTAGTATGAACTGATCTCCCGCTTCACACTGGCTACATGATTATGACATCAACACGGTGTGAGGTGCCTCATCCCCTAGAGAGGTCTCTACTCTCTGCTTGCTCCAAAAAAAAAATCAAGCTATATACAAGCCTGCTGTGGCCATATGTTGACTACAGAGACCTCAATGACATCCCTTTACTGCATGCATTGTTAGCTATTACATTCTTAAGCGCCTTTATATCAGTATATCATGTCAATCGTTTGTTTAGAGAAGCTGGTGTTTAGAACAGAGTCTGCTCAGTTAGCAGATAAAAACAACTTTCTCATGTTTTTGTTATTCTATAATTTTTGCATTAAACTTTAAGTACTGTTATTTCCATAAATGTATTTTTTACTTTAGTGATAACACTTGAATATACCTATTTCGGGTACACTATAAATACAATTTACTACAGTATTTTAAATAATTATCATTATTATCATCTCCATCTCCATAGATTTTAGCCTCATCTTTCTTTTACAACCATTCTCAAACAGCGAGTATAGCATGCAATCTGCTTTTAATGGGTTGAACTAACTGTAGGGCATCGTCTTCAGATCGGAAGACTCCATGTTATGCAGCCGAACAAAATGCAGCCTTCTTTTTGTCAGTTTTGAAGGACGGTTCTGGTCTATTCTCCGTAGCCATGGGTATCCCATGATTGATTGTGAGTGCAAGCAAGCTGGCTGCTCTGTGTTTAGAGAAAAATAATGTAAATTGAGCTGAACTGTGAATATTGTAAGTGCAATTGAATATGATACAAGCGTGTGAATAGTTCAATCTGAAATGAATGAAAATAGTTATTTTAAATGGTTATTGAGTCAGACATG